GCTCCCGAGGTCCGTTCTGGAAATCACAACTACATGTAGGATGAAATGTATTCCGCGTGCAGATGTCTCCTTCTGCTCCTTTTCCAGGTTAGGTTAAATAAACTCGTACCAACGGTTTGTTTAACAAAGCTCCCGCGAGACGGTTTCTTGGTGATTTTATTAATTTTTCCGATCCATTTTTTTTTCAACTCTATTGTCGCGGCTTTTGCGATACAAACTAAATTCATTTTTAGTTGTGATAGCATTACACTGCTTAATCAAGAGGGCTTTGGAAGAAACTGAATATATTGCGCTTCGCGATTTCGCAAAATCGCTGCGGGAATTAAAAAATATTTCCTTCCAAAAAAACCGTTTTTACGGTTCTTTCTCTAGTCAATTATCTCGTTTGTCTCTTTTTTTAAAGGTCCTTGAGAACAGAATAAGACAAAATTTTATTACCTACAACCTAAAAACCTGATTTTTGGACAGATCGAAACAAAACTGGCCTCTGAAATGGAAGAAGAAAAGCCTTTTATTTTTGCCGCCTTCGGCCTGCCGACGCGATCGTGTCTGTTTTGCTTTCATATCATGACATTTTCCTGACAGAAGGGTGTCGGGAAAAACACCTCACGCAGATCATACGTGACAAAATCCGCCGCGCCTAAGCTAATGAAGAAAAGTCTCCTCGAAAGCTCCATACAATTCCTTATAACAAAATTATAAGGAATTGTATGGAGCTCTCTGGGATACTTACAGTGCAAGCCCCTTGTGTCTTCTCATTGACTGTTAGCTACGTTTTCGTTTGAAATACAAAACGAGTGTTATATGTCATAATGCGAATACTCAAAACTTAAAATTTGCAAGGAGAAACAGGCCGGAAGCCTTAGCTACACACCGGTGTGAAGCCTTTGAAAATCTTTGCATATTGATATTGCTCCAGTGAGGAGAACTCTTTCAGGGATTTACATTCAAAACGGATGTAACCATAATTTTTATCGGTATAAATATATTTAGTAAAATCCAACTAGTGGTCTATTACCAATGCTGCCTTCTGATTGGTTGAGCTGCTACTAGGCTATATGTTATAGCCCACTAGTAGTGAAAAGCCCCGGCTTTGAAAACCAAAACAATGGCAGACTCGAAGGTTAAATTATTGATATCTCAAGTATTTATAAGGTGCAACGCGACTCCACGTCTTAACATCTGCGAAAATCTATCAACACATAAGTGAATCTATTTAACCGTAGAGTTCCAGTAATTGCGACAATATTTTGCGAAAGGTAACGCCACAATACACCACAATAATATTTTCTCATCCTACTCGGGGCATTTACTTTTTAAAACACGTGCATAATGACACGAAAATCAAGGGCCTCGATTCGGGGAAAACTACATCAGCGAAACGTCTTCAACTTACATGCATCACTTCAGTCATCGCCGAAAACAAACCGCATGCACATCACAAGGCTCATTTGCACACAAAGAAAGTCGTCAAGATTCTTATCCCCAGTTTGCACTGTCTCCGCTAGGAATGCCTGGGAGCATGCCCCCCTTTTCGCGACGGATAGACGAAAAACAAAGGCTTGTATTTCGAACGAACGCGGACATCAATCAACGAGATGCTTGCTCCTATTCTTTGTTTTGAGATTATTTAGATTAGTTACAAAATATTTCATAATCGTTTCAGTGTGATTAGAATATATAGAGGATATTACACGGTGGCGAGAAGATATGAATTTTATGTTCGAGTGGCAAGAACAATATCTCACGAGTGAGCGAAGCGAACGAGTGAGATATTGTTCTTGCCACGAGAACATAAAATTCATATCTTCGAGCCAACGTGTAATGTTCTTTTTATTATATGGAGAAACCAATTCAACAAAAGCAAAAGGCGGGAATCGTGACGTCATTGAACGATACGACACTCACAAAGGTGACATACGGAAAATACGCCACTCGGGTCCCGGATGAAGTGGCGTATGGAATCTACGAGTGGTTTAGTTCCCAGTAAAACACTCTCCTCCATATAATAAAAATATATTCTGTAACGTTCTGTTAGTTTCACAAGAGTATGTATATTACACAGTAATTTTCAAGGAGTTATATTAACTCCTCTAGTGGGGCTAATTTAACTCCTTACAGTGGAGTATTTTTTGTGGAGTTATTTTAACTCCAAAAAGGAGTTTAAAGAACTCTTTCTCAGGAGAAAAAGTGACCCCAGATATTGAGGAGTTAAAATAACCCAAAAAAAGGAGTTATCCTGTACCTAAAATTTTTACTCCACTTTCAGAGTTAAATTAACTCCAAAAAGAGTAAAAACAACCCATGTAAGGAGTACAAGTAACCCCATTTCGGAGTAATTTTAACTCCAGACTGGGAGTAAAAAGAACTCTTTTTCAGGAGTAAAAATGACCCCAAATTCGGAGTTAAATTAGGAGTTAAAATAACCCCAAAAAAGGGGTTATCCTGTACCTAAAATTTTTACTCCATTTTTGGAGTTATAATAACTCCCTAAAAATTACGGTGTAGTTGGCATAATCCTGCAGAAGTATTTAAGGCGTGCTTGTAAGGTGTCTCAAGCGGCTAGTACACTGTTTAAGCTTTGTCAAACGAAGCAAGAGCCAATCGAGGCATTTCTATTAACTCCTCAATTTTTTTTATTTTATTTACTGTTGTAATTTTCCCTGAGTTTGTAAAACTGTAGCACTGCTTTTTGTAATGCTGTACGCTCGCTTCGTCAATAAACGAGATGCCCGCTTTTGTAACCCCGTTTTTAATAATTATACTAAAATTGCAGGTTGTTTTTTGGGAGTATTTTTTTGTTTGTTTGTAGTTCGTAAAGTAAGATAAACAGTCTCGCGAAAGCTGAACCGAGGTTTTTTGCCTGTTCCCCTCGCACCCTTCCTTTAAGCTTTCTCAAGGCTGTACCTATCTACTCTAAGAACCACACAAACGAAAAATAGTCCCCAAGACGAAGAAAAAGAGTTTTAACATTTTTTAAATTTAAACGACCGTTGGAAGATAAGTAGTGACATGGGTTGTTTGAACGCCTTGGTAAATTTCCAAAAATAAAAGCCTTAACAACTAGACTACAAGTAGTCCCCCTTTTTCTCTCCGGGATAGTAGAGCGAGCGAAACGCGAGCGCGCGTGAAAATCACCCCACGCGAGAAGCGGTGACACGCGTCTCGCCTTTCTCGCGTGGGGTGATTTTCACGCGTGCTCGCGTTTCGATCACTCTACTATCCCTGAGGAAAAATGGGGGACCACTCGTAGTCTGCTAAACAACGGGTGCGATTCATTTAAGTGATACGACTTCCCGGACGAGAGAGTCGAGATATACGTACACTAAGCAATGTTTGAGATACCAGTATCTGTTTGAAGAAACAAGTGTTAGAAGGCGCGAGTCACGAATTAAAAATCAAAGGTTTTTGAATGTGAGCTTACTTTTCCACAGCGAAGGCAGGCTCCTGATTAAAAATAAGATTTAATTGATAGACTCAGACTCAACTATTGCAAATAACGTTTCAGCAGAAAAAATGCGTGAGAAACAACATGATGTGAGAATCAAAATTCCATTTAATTTTTGAGCCAAACCGCAGTAAGCATGATATGTGACACGTCCAATCATAATGATGAACCTGTGACTCATATCTCATTGACATCAATGTTTTAGAATGTCAATCCTGAATAAGGGGCTTTACCATCTTTGAATTTATCCTTCCTATGCCTAAATTAGCCAAAATTTCTGCGTGAAATGTCTTTAAGACGACTTTTTAGTGCACTGTAAACAATTCTTCGCTGGAGCACTCTTTTTTTTTGCTATTGTAAATAAACTTAAATACTTTTCAAAGTTTGGGTATAAACAAAAAAAAACACATTAATAGCGTGATTTATTAGCAATTCTTTTTTTGTCATGTTAGTGGAAATTTAAACCGTCCCAACAAGTGCTTATAATCGAGATACTCCTAGCTTACAATGTACATTCGGCTCGTAGTGCTTATGATCGAAGCATTCGACCAACAGTGCAGAACTGATATAATCATCAGCGAGGGTTGATGTTTCTGTAACGAAAGTGAGTATGACAAACTCATTCCCAGAATTCTCTCACAAAGAGGCGTGGTAAATGCACGCCCAAAGTTGATCAAAGAACACTTCGGCAACAACGAAGATATGTCGTTTTCATATCGGGCGACTTCAGAGCAAGTCGACCCCGGTCTACAACCCTGAGTGAGTGACTCATTTACAAATCTCAAGCCACAGCGAAAACTTGGTGAAATAACCCTTTGGTTTACTAGTCTTTGAGAAATTAAATTCTCAGACTATTATTCTTCCTAGTTTCGGATGGACTAGTTTAATCTGTCTCTTTCATATACAAAAACAACAGCAGCAAACAACAATTTTGTGCCCTAAGAATGATCCAGGAATGATGTTTTCGTAACTTATCTTTGTAATACGCTATTCCTTTTATAATAAGAGTCGTTGATGAAACGGCTTCCCCGGAGTTGTGAAAAAACGATTTATTGCAACATTTATGATAGATTGAATATCCTAACCAGCTTCGTTAAGTCCAGTACCATCAGCTTGTAAATCTATTTTGTATCCCGAAAAAAAATGAATGTAAGTGATCCGAGACCCACGCCCTGTAGAAAAACCCGACGAAGACTTCAGAGACTTAAACGGTCTGAAAAAGATATATTAATAGATAAAACTTGCAATACTTTCTGAAAATATATAGTAACCAAGTTTGGAGTGATTATTCAAACCAAATTAGGCTTTAATGTGCCAGCAACTATCTTTGCAACATTCCTCAATATCTAATTGCTAACATCTCAGCTAGAATGGCCTGGCCTAAATCCCTATCAGTTGGTTAAAGTCAATCTTTAGAAGTTAGATGGCTATCAATTTGCTATAATTGATTGCTGTTTTCTATAACGAACAGTTTGTAAACTAAACGATTACCATTACACAATGTCCTTTAAAATTTCTCGTCTCATTTTGTGTTACCATTGCAGTCAACACAATGAGGCTTGGTCATTATTGGTTTATTGTTTGCCTAATTATCGCCTGGATCGTCTCCGAGGGCAATTCAAAAAAGAGCGAAGAAGACCTCGAACTCACCAAAGAAGCTTGCGAAGAAGGTAGCTTCGTGCTCAACTCGTGTGAAGAGCAATGTGAATGTAAGAACGGGGAACTGGCCACCTGTTATCGTGTGAGAAAGAATTTTACCAAAATGACCATTGAGGACAGAAAACGTTATATCAACACTTATAAGCAGGCATCGGTCGATCCTCTGTTCAAGAAGGATTACGAAAAAATGGTCGCTCTCCACCTTAACGCTCCAAACAAACTTCTTCATCACACCCCTACGATCTTTTTCCCCTGGCATCGGTGGTTTTTGGTTGAGTTTGAAAACCTACTGCGCAAAATCGACTGTCGTGTGACAATACCCTACTGGGACTGGAGTCAAGTGGCTCATCATTGGTGGGAGGAGTCTAGTGACGAAGTCGTTTGGGCCTCCGGAGATCATGGTTTGGGAGGGAATGGCAACAAGGATAATGACTTCTGCGTGGAGACAGGACCTTTCAGAAAGGATCAATGGAGTGTCCTGGACATATCCGGAGGAGGGTGTTTAAAAAGGAACTTCACGAGACGCAGTTTCACTGGCGATAGTGAACACGTTAAAAAAACTTTATCTCTACCGCTGAAAGATTTTTTCCGATTTGAAAAAATTGTTCGTGACTACTATCACGCTCAACCCCACGACTGGATCGGTGCTACAATGAGAAGCCCGCGCTCAGCTGGAAATTCCCCAGAAATGCCTCTTCACCATTCATTCTTGGACAAACTTTGGTATCAATGGCAGAAGAAAGGAGATGAATACATAAATGTCTACTATCGAAGCGTTCCCTTCAAACTTCCTGGCTCAAAGTATTACGGCTGGGAATGGATGGATTATAGAAACCTCCCTGGCCANGCCCGCGCTCAGCTGGAAATTCCCCAGAAATGCCTCTTCACCATTCATTCTTGGACAAACTTTGGTATCAATGGCAGAAGAAAGGAGATGAATACATAAATGTCTACTATCGAAGCGTTCCCTTCAAACTTCCTGGCTCAAAGTATTACGGCTGGGAATGGATGGATTATAGAAACCTCCCTGGCCAGGTGAATGTTATCTACGAAGAATGAGTATAAAAACGTTTGAATAAACAGTAAATTATCCCTTTATTATAAAGTAGGCTAGTCCAAGAGAAAAAGGCCAATTACTTTAAAAGATACTTTTAAATTTGTCAAAATCTCGATGTGCAATGCAAAGCTAGTTGAAAAAAATTGACCGATATACAAGAATTTGCGTCACTGTATTTCATCGAATTATTTGCTTAAGTAATCAGCTGATCATTCTTAAAGGCGTTTTTCAGAAATACCATTTTGCAAAATTTTGCATTGTTTTTAATTTCTCTTGGGACTTACAATCGCCCCAAGAGAAATTGAAAACGGTAATTATGCACAATTTTGGAGGGACAACTAACACTATGGTATTTTTGAAAAACAAAAAGCCTATTTATCCTTGTAGGTCATCATCTCTTCACCTTAAGTCTTCTAAGGAAGTTGTCTTCTACACAGCCATATCTCATGACAGATTTGTAATTGATTATAATCATAATTACCGAGTGAAGAAACAGTTACTTAATACTGTCATAATAAGTAAACGAGGTTTCAAGATGTTTCAGATCTCATGATAGAAAATCAAAAACTTTTGTATGCTAATAAGTGTTATCTTTAAATATGTTATAATCGTGCATATCTTATTTGGGACATTTTTTCTTATCCGCATTGTTTTTCGTTTGGATTAGTTTGCCATCTACATTATATACAGTTAAACCTCCCTAAAACGGCCACCTTGGGGACAGAAGAAAGTGGCCGTTGTAAGGAGGTGGCCATTGTAGAGAGGTTTTAAACGAGAGTCAATGTATGGATTTTTTGTCCGCCGGGAAGAAAAAAAAGTGGCCTTTGTAGAGAGGTAGGCGTCAGCGGAGGTTCGACTGTACTGTTCGTGTCCTTTTTTCTTTTTCTTTCTTTTTTTATTTCTCACGGTGTTTTTTGCTTGTTTGTTTGTTTCTGACTAGAGGATAGCATTATCGTGTTTGCATTTTGCTTTATTCATTATTAGCGGATCATTTTCTATTCAACAAAGCGAACCGCTGTAGGCAGCCTGTAGGTATGATTCACGAGGTTTTTGGAATAACTCATGATTGGCTGAAAAGTGGTGCCAGCAGATTTTTCATCCAATCACTATGCGTAACAGTACACAAAGCAAAAGCACAACAAAGGCAACAAAGCAAACACTGCTTATTTTTAATTTGATAAATCATTATCTAAAAAGCATTCAGTTAAAAGAAACTGAAAGTTTAAACTGAAATTTTGTGGCAACATTGGCTTATAAGGTTTGCTTTGAGCCACATGTCGCAGCAAAACGTCTTTGCCCTGAATCTCTCTTCTTGCTTAATCCGCAAATGCACAAACTGCGATTTAAACTGTAATTGTCATATCTATTGCTGCTCACTTGCATGAGAGTTATTTATGGAAAGCTAAGTCTTATATAACATTTAATTAACAAATGGTTTAATTGCCTAAAATGGCCTAGCCTAAGAAAGAACGGACGCGCGAGGGAGACACGCGAGGGGAGAGGGACGCTTGACCGTTCTTACTCGCTTTCTGAGAGTGCAGAAAATTCCTATTGGTTGAAAGGCTCCCGAGGGGATAAGTGTTCGAGTTAGACGAGAAAACTGTCAATCAAAGAAACACAGGAAACATGTGGTACATGTAGTGCATGGACACTGTAAAGGTCGAATTTCAGATCTTGGAGGTCACGTCAGTGGGACTATGTGGCTGCGATCTAAAAAAAATTAGGAGTGTTCAACCGTATTCACAAAGGAACGATTTGACATCAAATACGCATTAGCAGAAGCGGCGGCAGACAAAAGATTTGTCGAATCGTTGAAATGAAGATCAGAGGAAATATTATTTGTTCAAAAATAACTTCTCGGCTTGGATTGTCGATGGAACGTATACCATCAAAACTTGGACCGGATTGATGAAATGACGCACTTACCAGGGGCATGAACTTAAAAAACCTTTCGCTATTGTTATTATTTGCTCGAATAATCGGTTTCTGTCAAAATTTTTGACATATCACGCAGCGGCTGCCAGGTAATTGGATAGGGGTCGGGAAACGACTTTCATGGTTCTCCCCGGCAGGCGCTCCCTCTCCCCTCGCGTGTCTCCCTCGAGCGTGCCGTTCTTTCTTTCGCCCATCACTTCCAAGCGCCTGCTACGCAGGCTAAAGATGGCTGTGAATGGTAGTACAAATACCACTTGCCAGTTTAAAAAATTGGACGTAAATGATTGACTATAGAGAGAATTTTTTTTTCTGATTTCTTAATGACCCAAATTAGCTAAAAGGTCACATAAAGCAACATGTCATAGAATATTTAATTATTTTCTTACTCTTTTATTAGCTTCACCAACAATGATAACGAACGGAAACAACTAGTAGAAGGAAAAATTTAAAAACTAAGGCTATGCCTTTCACACTATATCGACACGAAAAGCCATCTGGTAAAGTATGAACAGCGAAGGCCGAGAACTGGAACAAGTCGTTAACACACATCGAACACCCAGCCAGAACGGTTGGCCGAGAGAGCTTGGTGAACTAGATCCCAGTCCTCGCTCCTGAATATTTACTTCCGTTTCAACGGATTCCAGTTCGAGCTCCTATTTATTCACTTCCTACACCGTCCGTTACGGTGAATACCTGTTCATACTACACCAAGTGTGGCAACAGAGGCTATCCGAAATGTAACGCTCCACTTTCCAGATCGGCTTGGCGCAACTTCGCTCACCATTCTTTTGTGTGAACAGAATTAAGCCATATCCGGTATGGTTTTCGTGCCGGTGTAGTGTGAACAGTGCCTAAGACATGTGACACTGACGTAACTTAAATAAAGAAAAAATGGGTGATAAGGAAACCGCAATATATAGCGGTGACCAATTACAGCGGGATCAATCAAATATAACTATAAAAAGAGTAAAAAATGCTATGAACTTGTTCAGGGGAAAGAAGGACAAAATACTACAATATAATATTAGATGGGGAAGCCACTCGGTTAATAATTAGTAATTTTAAAAATACCGGTTTAAATGAACCTAAAGTCAGAAGGCTAAAAACAAGTCCATCTGTGTCAACTCCAAATTCTGTAGATCATTACTAACGAGAAATGATCTCTGGTAGTAAATGCTTTTCATTTCAGGGAAACTTATTTAGAATGTTAAATAAACAGTAGTAGATTTAGCTAGTGAATGTACGTAACAATTAGGACATAGTTCTTTTTCAAACAAAAGAAGTTAATTTTTAACTTTTTCGTTAACCGTAACTGAAAAAAATTAACCGATAGCCGTAAAAGAGCCAAAATTTTAGCCGATAACCGTAAATGCCACCACCCCATTGAGACCCTCAAATAACACTTACCAGTTTAAAAATTGGACGTAAAAGATTAACCATAGAGTCAATTTTTTTATTTCTGATTTCTTACTGACCCAAATTAGCTAAAAGGTCACATAGAGCAAAATATCATATAATATTTAATTATTTTCTTACTGTTTTATTAGCTTCACTAACAATGATAACGAAAGGAAACAACTAGTAGAAGGAAAAATTTAAAAACTAAGGCTATGCCTTTCACACTATATAGACACGAAAAGCAATCTGGTAAAGTATGAACAGCGAAGGCCGAGAACTGGAACAAGTCGTTAACACACATCGAAGACCCGGCCGGAACGGTTGGCCGAGAGAGCTTGGTGAACTAGATCCCAGTCCTCGCTCCTAAATGTTTACTTCCGTTTCAGCGGATTCCAGTTCGAGCTCCTATTCCTTCACTTCCGTCACGGTCCGTTACGGTGAATATCTGTTCATACTACACCAAAGTGTGGCAACAGAAGCTATCCAAAATGTAACGCTCCACTTTCCAGATCGGCCTGACGCAACTTCGCTCACCATTCTTATTTGTGAACTGAAGCCATATCCGGTATGGTTTTCATGCCGGTGTAGTGTGAACAGTGCTTAAGACATGTGACACTGACGTAACTTAGGATAAAGAAAAATGGGTGATAAGGAAACTGCAATTATAGCGGTGACCAATTACAGCGGGATCAATCAAATATAACTATAAAAAGAGTAAAAAATGCTATGAACTTGTTCAGGGGAAAAAAGGACAAAATACTACAATATAATATTAGATGGGGAAGCGGCCCGGTTAATAATTAATAATTCTAAAAATACCGATTTAAATGAACCTAAAGTCAAAAAGCTAAAAACAAGTCCATCTGTATCAACTCCAAATTCTGTAGATCATTACTAACGGGAAATGATCTTTGCATTTCAGGGAAATTTATTTAGAATGTTAAATAAACAGTAGTAGATTTAGCTAGTGAATGTACGTAACAATTAGGACATAGTGGTGTTTGTTGACAAAACCATGTGTTTATTGGCAAAGTCAATAAGAACTAATTAATTCATGATTAATGGTTTATGCCAATACTGTCAGATGGTTTAATAACAGTGAATAAACCATAGTGACAAGTCTTTGAGTGCGTCCGTCGTTATCCCTTACGCCTTACAATATGTTTCGTCAAAGACGAAATCAGACGTTCCCGACCAATATTCAACCTTTTCTACGTCTTTCTGGAGATCAGATTGACCTCCCCTTTTTTGTTAGAGGTATTTTTGTGTCATCGGACAATATCATCAATCGAAAAATGATCATTAACTCACAGTGTCTACCGAGTAAGAGAGGGCCAAAATGTAATGGGAGATCCTTCCAGTGTTAATAGATCTGATGTCAAATCAACACACTCTTAGCCAAAGGAAACAAAGAAAGTAGAACCCTGAGTTACGAAATGCTGCGTTACTAAATCTGCATTTGCTAAACCACAGTT